GGGGCCGGGCGCCCGGCTAGGGCCGGGGCGCGAGACGGAAAGTGCCCGAGAATTAACCTGGAACTTGACCCAGGCCGACACCCGCCCTCCCCGTCTCCCCTCAACATCCCGCCCCCTCCGCCTCCGGCTTCGTACGGTGTGCGCCCAAGCCGCCATTACGCACGCGGAATAACCGTCTCCCAACCGCCGCGCCAACCCCACGGCCTCGCACGACTCGCAGCGCCCACGATCGCGTCCCTCACGGGGCCCTACCCTCTTACCTCCTCCGTACCGCCCGTAGCGCGACATGATGACTGGCCCACGAGCTCGGCTCGTTCAGCTCGCAGAGCCCAGGATCCGAGTGACGCCAGAAGCTGCAAAGACCTCGCACACCAACGGTCCCAACAGCACTACGAGGAAGAGCCTGGGTTCCGGTTTATATATGCGGCGGCTGGGTCTCTCTGCGCATGCGTCATCTCGGCGTTCTGCGCGGCACAAAGGAGCTGGGCGGAAACAGCGGAGCAGCGGCGTGGGGGCGGGGACTGAAGAGCGTAAAGGACCAATCACAAGCGGAGGGATACGTTTCCATGGGAACGTCAGAATCCCGCCAGTAAACCCTTGGCCTTCCCCGCGGTGTCCCGCCCCATCCTTCCCCCCTTTCCTGTACCCTCCTCATTTCCCCCCCTTCCCTTCCCCCTTCCCCCTCCTATTTTCCCCATTTTTAGGGACCCTCAGCTCTAGTAATGTTGCTACAGGTGCATTAGACCGGCCTCTGAAAGGCTGTAACGGCTGATGTTGCAGCCGCCGCCGCCGTTCTGCTGCGGGACCTGGCCTAGGCTAATACTCGGTGATCTCTGGGGCTCATCAGAGGTAATCGGGAGTTTGGCCAGGGTGAGAACGCCATGAACCCGCTGTTCTGAGTAGTGGTCCCTACATTATAGGCCTCAAAAGGGGTGAAGCCCCTAGGGACATCCCGCCCTGCACCCACCCAAAAATCCCTTAAGAACCAGCTACCAATTTTCACCAACACGTTCTGACTTCTTGGGGTCTCGGGGACAAAGGAATAGAGTTATCTTTTTTGTTGTTGTTAGAATAAAATTGTGACAAAACCCTAAATCCTTATTTTTTTTAAGGAGATATTTTTATTGATTTCAGGGAGTAAGGGAGAGAGAGAGAGAAACACCAATGATGAGAATCATTGATTGGTTGCTTCCTGCACGCCCCCTACTGGGGATGGAGCCCTCAACCCTCGCATGCGCTCTGAAGGGGAATCCAAACGTGACCCTTCTGGTTCATAGGTCAACACTCAACCACTGAGCCACACTGGTGGGGGCAAAACCCTAAATCCTTACAGCTGCCAGTTATGTTCAGGCTAGTGGCTAATTCTGAAGTTATTTGCATTTGAAGTACAATTGATCTGTGCTTCCCCTCTAGTTCTTTTTTGTGTTGTATCATAGTAACACATCCACTAAAGACTCAGTTCCTAAGGACTTTTTAAAAGATGTTTTTATTGATTTCAGAGAGAGGAAGGCAGAGAGAGGGATAGAAACATCAATGAGAGAGAGAAACATCCATGGGCTACCTAATGCAAGCCCTCTATTGGGGATTGTTCCTGCAACGGGGGCATAGGAATCGAACTGGTGACCTCCTGGTGCATGGGAGGATGCTTAACCAACTTCGCCACACCCAGGGCAAGCCTTTCAGTAGCAGCCTCTTGCTGCTTAGCCACTCTATATAGCAAATAAATGGAAACGGTTTCATTTCGTTAGAATCGCCTAAAATCCACTTTTGATTTTACACATTGCATTTGCCAGACACCAACTCTACAAATACAGATTTAACTTTTTTTTTTTTTTACCATCCACCAAAAAAAGACATTGCACCATAAATACTTGGGATACACAAGTTGGAAATGTTCCACATAAAAGAGCAATTCCTTTTGAGGCCTATTAGGAGTATTAGGGCACATGCCGAGGTTTGTGCCCTTGACGGAAGTATTTGTACTTCTTTTTTCAAAAAAAATCTGCTGGCCGAAACCGGTTTGGCTCAGTGGATAGAGGGTCGGCCTGCGGACTGAAGGGTCCCAGGTTCGATTCCGGTCAAGGGCATGTGCCTGGGCAGATTTAACTTTTTTTTTTTTTTACCATCCACCAAAAAAAGACATTGCACCATAAATACTTGGGATACACAAGTTGGAAATGTTCCACATAAAAGAGCAATTCCTTAAGTATTTGTACTTCTTTTTTCAAAAAAAATCTGCTGTATCTTCCCTTGGTGTATATAGATGTTGGATACAGAGTATAGGAGAGAGGCTTAGTTGAATAAGCCTTTATTTAGGTGAATAAAATATGGATTTTCTCCAGGCAATGCCATGAATTTATACATATTTTTTTCAGATTTATCAAATTATGGAAAAAATTAGTCTGTCTCAGGGATTCTAGCAAGAAAATAGAAGTTCTGGTACCAGACACATCGGGTCCATTACTGCCTCTTGCCACTAAGCCAATAAGCAGAGACAAGGTTGAATTTTTTATGAGTGTTTATTTGAATTACCAGCAATAGGAGAGAGCAGTGTGCTTGGTACCTTGAAAAACCTCTCTAACATCTCCTGCCAGTTGGCTGCTTATATAGGGGTAAGAAAGAAAAGCGAGGTACAGTGGGGAGGGTATAGCAGGATAAAGGCTGTAGGGTATGTGATCAGTGTGTCTGCTTCCAGTATCTTAGAGTCAATAACAGGGTAGTTAATCTTTTTACGATGTCAAACCAGCTTAGCCCTAGCTGGTTTAGCTCAATGGATAGAGCAGTGGTCGGCAAACTCATTAGTCAACAGAGCCAAATATCAACAGTACAATGATTGAAATTTCTTTTGAGAGCCAAATTTTTTAAACTAGATAGGTAGGTATATTGTTATTAACTTAATTAGGGTACTCCTAAGCTGGCCTTTGCTAAAAACGTCCTCAATCTGATTGAGGTACGTTCGCTGAGGTCGACCCCTTCCAACTCTCCCATCCACACTCGTCTTGTATACTTGTTTAGTCTATCTCCTTTCCGAAAACCGACTTCTGTGCATGGGCCACAAAGTTTCAATCGCACTGCACGTGCGCGCCCGCACGTGGTATTTTGTGGAAGAGTCACACTCAAGGGGCCAAAGAGCCGCATGTGGCTCACAAGCCGCGGTCTGCCGACCACTGGGATAGAGCATCGGCCTGTGGACTGAAGGGTCCTGGGTTCTATTCCGTCAAGGGCACATGCCCAGGTTTGTGGCCTCAACCCCCAGTAAGGGGCATGCAGGAGGCAGCTGATCAATGATTCTCTTATCATTTATGTTTCTATCTCTCCTTCTCCTTTCCTCTCTGAAATAAATAAAAACAAGATAAATAAAAACATATTTTTAAAAAAGAACAAAAACAAAAAACAGCTTAGCCCATTTCCAGAATTGGAGAATAGACAGCATTCCTGAGGCAAACTCCCAGAGGGAGGGGGAGGTCAGCGTCCGGACACAGCAACCAGGTCAGGGTCTACTTTCTTTGATCAAGACAGAACAAACTTGATTAATTAATATCTATGAGCATTACGGGTGCCCCACCATTCCCTCTGAGCCCCTATCAGTTCTATGTAGTATGTTATATTTGTTCCTTATTAACCTTATTAATCTTTGTTGTCAACTACTTATCAGGGTTCTTCTCAAAAGGGTTAAATGATAAAGGTATTTTTACATACTCCCTGAAAGATAGAATACAGTATCAATTTTATAAAGCCTCACTAATTCAACTTCCTCCTATTAAGAATTTATTAAAATTGCTGTTGGACAAAACATAGATAACTTACGGAAAGAGAGTACTTACTAGTTACTGGCCATACCACTCTGAATGCCTGAGATCTGGTTTGATCTCAGGAGTTAAGCAGGGTTAGGTCTGGTTAGTACTTGGATGGAAAAGATGATACTTATTATGTTGTATAGCTCCTAATAGGCCTCAATAAATATTTTTGGCTCTGAATACAAAGTCTACTGTATAAAAGAGAATTTCTAAGCAAATAATAATGCTACCAATATGAAAAGAAGCAATTTTCTAACTTATAGCAAACTGCTTTCAAGCACATTAAAGAAAAAGGGGTAACCCCTGACTGGCTTGCCTGCCTCTCTCAGAGACAGGCACTTTGATAAGCCAATTACATATTATTTACCTCTATTACAAGAGGGCCAATTCTAGTCTGGGCTTTGCTAACACAGTTGCCATGAAAAACATAATAGTACTGGCCGGTGTGGCTCAGTTGATTGGGAGTCATCCTGTGCACTGAAGGGTCGCTGGTTGGATTCCAGGTCAGGGCACATGCCCAGGTTGTAGGCTCCATCCCTGGGGTGCATGTGGGAGGCAGCTGATCTCTCACATTGAGTTCTCTCTCTCTCTCTCTCTCTCTCTCTCTCTCCTCTCCCTAAAATCAATAACATACATTTTAAAAAATAAATAATAGTACTGTACACTATTTCTGTACATTTTTATACTAAACACTCTTTTTCTAAGAACATGTAACCAGTTCTTTTCACTAAATGTCAATCTAAATCAGGGAGATTTTATTGTAAAGAGTACTTCTATTCCTGCTGATTCTTTTGAAATCAGTTTCACCTACATTTTGGCCTCTAGGATTCTGTGTTAATTAAAATCACATTCCCAGATTCAATTTGAATGTGAAAGCTATTCAACAAATATTCTAATATTTTTAATATGAAATATTAAGTAGCTCTTAACACATTACTGTTGTTAAACATTGATAATATTACCTTTGGAGGGGTCGGGATTTCTTAATCCTTTTACAGCAGTTTTCAAAATTTATTTGCATTTCCTAGATCAGTATTTTCAGGGGAGCATTAAAGAAAAAGTTCATTTTTTATTTTATTTTCTTCTCCATTTTAGTTTCACTTTTAAGTCATTGTCAGCATTTTTAGCTTGGATGTGAAAACCTTAAAACAGGAAAATATAGTTTAGGCCTTTTGCACATGTATCGATTTTTAATCTAATGAAATAGTCTGTAGTTACAAACACTAGTCTTTTAATATGTATTTATGTATGTGCTGAGTATGGACATACTGTAGGTCAAGCTATGTTCAGCTACAACTTTTTTTTTTCTTTTCCAGCATTTCCTAATCTTCTGTTTCTTCTAGAATGTTGTTAAGAATTCTGGGAAGGAAAAATTATTCGAGGCATATTTATAATTTTTTCATAATGTATAAAGAAATTAACTTCTCATTAGCCAAGTACTGGACCATAATCAGTACTGAAGTGTGGGGTGGGGAGGGGCAAGTGCAGTTAAAGAAAGCCAGTGCTTTGTCCAAGAAGGAAAATGTGATGCAGATATTACCAAATATTACCAAAATGGGTGATTTTATAAAAATCGAGGAAGAGTGAGGCTTTCTGAGGAA